AACCAAACTCAACTAGAAAAGAATAAATGTGTTTGTTCCAAGCTCTAGGAACTTGTTTCAAACCATTAAGTGCCTTCTTCAATTTGTAGACTCTTTCCTCTTGATTTGTCACCACAAAACCAGGGGGATGCTCTACATAGACTTCATCCTCAATTGGACCATTCAAAAATGAGGATTTTATATTTATTCGATACATTGACCAATTATTTCTATTCACAATACCATCAATCAGCTGTATAGTTTCTAATCTAGCCACATGTGCAAATACCTCATCATAGTTTATACCTTCTCTTGTAAAAATCCATTTGCAACTAGTCAAGCCTTATGCTTGACAAATTCGCCTTTTGGATGTGCCTTCACCTAATAGACCCATCTCACTCCTATTGGCTTTTTCTGTTCTGGTGGATCGACCAGCTCCCAAGTACTATTTTTTTCAATCGATTCTAACTCCTCTTTCATCGCACACACCCACTTCGATCGCTTAATGCTTTCTCTGTGCTCACGGGCTCGGATTCGGCCATAAGCGCAAAGTGAATAATATCACCATCATTGTTGATTTTATTATCATGGAATACTTCACAAAATCTGAGCCTTTAAGGTAGACCTTTATGCCTTGTTAGTCGTATATTGGATTCACCATTTTAGACTTCGACCGACTGTTGAACTGTACTTGCAGAATTCTGCATTTCTGCATTTTCCTATGGAAACCGGTTTCCAGAAACAGGGGAACCAGTTTCTGCTTCGAAAAAAAATAAGTTCCAGTAGCTTCAGGATGCAAAAATTGCGAAGGAAACTGGTTACCCTCATATAGGAAATTGGTTTCCAATACTGATATTGGATTTTTTTTTCTACTGTTAAACAGCCTCAACTCGTCCATGACCACATCTCGACTTACAACAATCTTCTTGCTACTCACATCAAATAACCTGTATCCACCGGTAGGATGATAACCAACAAGTAACATCATCTCCCCTTTGTTATCCAACTTCTTTCGAAGCTGACCTAGAATATTTCGAAATGCAACCGAACAAAAAACTTTTAAATGGATCAGGATTGGTTTAAAACCAGACCATACCTCCTCTGGAGTTACTTTATCAAGCTTCTTTGTAGGGAACTTATTCAACAAGTAGGCGCTGTAGACACGACTTCACCCCACAACTCTTTCTGTAAATTTTTACTCTTCAACATGCTACGAACCATATTCATTATCGAATGATTTCTTCTCTCGGCAGCGCCATTTTGTTTAGGCATATAAGGTGGCACAACCTCACGCATTATACCTTCATCATCATAATAGTTCCCAAAATCACTCGAGGTATACTCACCTCCATAATTGGTTTTGAGAATTTTCAACTTGTGACCACTTTGTCACTCCGCCCTGGATTTAAAACATTTGATCACATAAAACACCTCATTTTTCCTCTTGATTAGATAAATCAATAGCTTCCTACTAAAATCATCGATAAATGTGACAAAGTACCTATTCCCACCATACAAGTCGACTTGCATTAGCCTACAAACGTCTGAGTACGTCACCTCAAGGTGATGTTTGATCCTACGACCTGCATCCTTGTTGAAACTATTCTTGTTTTTCTTCCCTTGAACACACTCATCACATATCTCAGTGGAACATTGATCTTAGGAAGCTCGATCACCATACCATTCCTTTGTAACGCGTCGATGTCTTGAAAATTGAGATGTCCAAGACGTTAATGCCACAACCACTCATCATAACTTTCCACTGTAGCAAGACACCTATGATCCATCACTTTCAAATCTATCTTGAAAGTACAATTTACAGCCATGGGTGCTCTAAGAATTAAAACTTTGTTTTGGTCCAAAACACGTAAAATCTTGTTTTCCATATGAATTGAGTAATTCTTCTCAAGCAATTGGCCAATACTCAAGAGATTACATTTAATTACAAGGATGTATAGCACATCTTTGATCAACGAATGACTTCTATCCATCTTCATGATCAAAACATCACTGACACCATTGACCGCTAAAGTGGTGTCATCCGCGAATTTTGTACTTTATTCTTTGTGGCTTAATTGATTTTGACAAAACAATCATTTCTACATGTTATATGCGTTTAAAAAACGGAATCCATGTACCACTCATCACTACCTTGGACTCCATCTCGAACCTCTGGACGTGTTTTTGTAGCCTTTTCTACACTACAAACGTTGCTGCCTAGCCACTGACAACTGCTACTGCTGCTGTCCAACAAATTTTCCTTGCCATAATTCTCCTTTGTGGTCATGACCAAAAGTGTGTTATCATCATCCACATCTTGTCGAGCTACCTTATCCTCATCACTTTGATTTTCTCTCGATTTCACATTACATTCCTTTGTGAAATGCCCAAGCTTGTGACAATTGTAACACTTCACACCACTCTTGTCAAACTTTTTGGTGTAATTATCTTGATCACTATCTTTAGAGCTGCTCTCATCTCTTTTTGCCATCGAAACCTTTGAATTTTGTGAATCTTTTCCACCAAAATTCTGGAAATTTGTCTACCCTTTTAAAGACCATTTTCCTTTCGATCTACATAATCTCTGCTTTGACCTTGTCATTTCCTCTTTCATTCATACTTTGTTCATGAGCCTCTAATGAACTTTGAACCTCCTCCTTGATAAATGTAAGAAGATCCTTTGATTCTTCGATTTCAACCATAATGTTGTTGAATCTTGACGTTAAAGAGCGCAAGATTTTTTCTACCATATTTTGCACCGACACGGTTTCACCGCAAGAATTCATTTGATTCACCAAATGCATTATACACGTACGTAATCATTGATCGATTCATTCTCTTCCATTTGCACCAGCTCAAACTGCCTCTTGTGAGTTTGTAACCTTATAAACTTTGCTTTATCAGCCCCTTCATAAGCTTTCTTCAAGATATCCTACACTTGCTTCGCCGGCGCACAATCACCAACCTTTTCAAAGTTATCGTTATCGACGCAAGAATGTATCAAGAAGAGTGTCTTGTAATTTTTCTTCTTCTCTTTCTTGAATATAGCCTGTTGAGAAACTGTAGCTTCTGCCCGAAGTGGTCTAACACCATCGTTAATCATTTCAAGAATGTCTTGATAGTCAAACAAAACTTTCATTTGTTTGCACCATTTGTAATAGTTTTGGAGTCAAGGGTTGTAAGATTGATAGAGATTCGATCATTGGAAACAGTAGACATGTTTGCAGCGGATTAATATATCAGAACCAAGACTCTTGATGCCAAATATTGGAACATGCATAAAAATAAGTTGGTGAGTTAATGGTGAAAAAATGTTAATTGGAGAAGATGAAGTTAGAGATAATTTTGGAGATTATTAGAGAGAGAGTAATTGAGGAGAAAAGTAAAATTGATATTAATCTCATACTAAAACATCATTACAAGAAGGTATATATTGAGGATACAAAAACATAATTTTGGAACCAACACAGTCCCACAAACAACTCAAAACAAAAATTATCGCGTTAGAAACTAGTTTCCTAAAATGTTGGAATCAAGGCTCTGATACCAAATCTCGGAACATACACATTGGTGAATTAATGGTGAAAAAAAGTTAATTGGAGAAGATGAAGTTGGAGAGAATTTTGGATATTATTAGAGAGAGAGTAATTGTGGAGAAAAGTAAAATTGACATTAATCTCATATTAAAACATCATTACAAGAGAGTTTATATAGAAGATACAAAAACATAACTTTAGAACCAACACAGTCCCACAAACAGCTCAAAATAGAAAATTATCGCGCTAGAAACCGGTTTCCTAAAACAGGAGAACCCGTTTCCTCAACTAAAAAAACAACCCCAAAATTAATATCGCGATAGAAACCGGTTTCCTCAAACTGGGAAACCAGTTTCTTCTTTGAAACTTTGAATTTCCAACTTTCCATAAGTGCTTTTCAAATAAGTTGTTTTACATGAAACGATGCCAGAAATTTCTATAATGCGTTTGATTTTTTTAGACATCCAATAAAAATCACATAGAAGACTCTTCAGACACTATTTGTAGTCGTGCTACTTATTTATTATCAATGTGGAGGAATGTCTAACAATTTTGATAGAGCAATAACAATCAATCTCAAAGGTCTACAAATATTAAGGTGAGTAAACTATCTGTTGGTCATCTCAAATGCAACATCGACACATCTTTTTCTAATATTAATATAGAAATAAATGATAGCATTCGAGAGATGACAAATATTTTTTTACAGTTTGGACCAAGTAATTTTCTCTTATAACTGATGTCAATATAGGTGAAGTTTTAGGCCTCTTGTCATCTACTTCATCAGTTTCAAAGAGTGTCGTTTAAGGTTTTTGCACACGGATTAAGGAATGCAATAATATTGTCATAAGACATTACACTTTTATTAAATTAATTTTATTAATGTGTCGGAAGTAGTGCACAGGCTAATAATTGAATAACATAATTGGAAAAATAGCAATCATTACTATATTGAAAAATAAGAATGACATTCATTTTGACACATTTTTTTTCCTTCTAAAACGACACTCATTTTAAAATAGGAAGAGTATTAAATAGGTAAATGAGCTTGATTTTGATAGGAGAGATTTTAAGTGTTGTGAATAATGTGATTAATCAACAACCAAATAATTTTAATTTGAATGCTATTACGTTCAAATGTAATAACTTATTATCACTAGAAATTCTCATATTAAATTCGTTAGAAGATAAATTAATAAAATTGTTTATATTTTGACACAAACATCTCCATCTCTTCTTAGATTTACAATTTTGTTGATCTACCGAAATGTATTCTAAATCGTATTATTAATAAAATGATTTAAGTCTTTTCCCATGAAAAAAAAGAAAGAATATACTATCTCTAAAATAAAATATAAGCAAAAGTTTTTTGCATGTTAGGTCAAAGGTTACTTACGGAGTTTTCTTTATCACTGGTATAAAATGCCTAGCAATGTCCTCCCAGTCCTCTGTCTCTCTTCCATTCTTTTCTTTCTCTCCCTAAAAATGACACAGACATCAACAACAACTTCTTTAGAAACAGCCACAACCTCAAACTCTTCCACCTCTTCTTCTTCATCACCCTCACCACATTCAACTTACCATGGAGTAAGAAAACGCAGCTGGGGAAAATGGGTGTCAGAAATTCGAGAGCCTCGCAAAAAATCAAGAATCTGGCTCGGAACATTCTCAACGCCAGAAGCTGCAGCTAGGGCACACGACGTAGCAGCTTTAACAATCAAAGGCAAAACCGCTATTCTCAATTTCCCTCATTTTTCCAACATGCTTCCTATACCTGCCACGTCAGCACCACGTGATATTCAAGCTGCGGCAACAGCAGCGGCTGCTATGGTTGACTTTGATAAGCCTGTCGTGCATGTTACTGGCCAATGTTGTTCTGATGAATCTCAAGAAGATGAACTTAGTCAGATTGTTGAACTTCCAAAAATTAATGAAGAATGTGAAGATGATAGCTCTGCTTCTAAGTTTGTATTGTATGACTCGGTTGATAGTGATTGCTTTTATCATCAAACTCCGACCAATGGCTCTGAAGGAATCGAATTCTATGCGACATTTTCTGATGATTTTTTCATCCCCATTTGGGATTGAAGTCCTGGTGACTTTGTTTTTAGTTTGTCTTCTCATCATGTTCAGTCATGGGTCACTTTCCATTATTGAAACTGAAGTATCTATTATGTATTGAGAATGATGAAATATTTATTAATTAAATAGTAGAATTGAAAAAAATCTATAAAAAATTGAAATTGATCATTCATTTTAAAAATTTATTTTATTCTAAATGAATCACTTATTATAAAACGAAAGAAATATTATTTTAACATAAATATTATTTTACCGGAATGTTATTCCTACACTATAATCATACACCAATACTTATACCAAAATATTATTCATCATATTTATACAATGAACAATGTTTTTTAAAATAAAAAATATATTTATTAATAATGTCATGAACAGTGCGTGAACAGTGACCTGTAAATATTATCTATGAACAATACCGTGAAAAAATTACTTATAGAGATAAAATAAAGTTGGTTAATAAAGTGTTAAAAGTTGATTAATAAAACGATGAAGTTGGTTAATAAATGTCTAAATATTAAAAACAAATTTTATTAGTAAAACATAGTTAATTAATTAAATATAAAATATTAGTTAATGAAATGATAAAGTTGATTAATAAACGCTCAGATTTTAAAGTTTTTTACTAGTAAAATAAAATTGATTAATAAAATATAAAAAATTGATTACTAAAATGGTGAAGTTGGTTAATCATACGATTTAAAAAAATAAAAAAATATTTTATATATTTTTAAAAAAATATTATTATATTTTACTATTTGTCATATTGATAAATAATAAAATATAGTGTACGTGTATATTATTGATGTAAGAATAACATTTTTCATATATTAACCTTGTTATCAATATGACTATTCTAAATTTTCAAGCAAGAACGTGAATAAAAAGCCAGTTACAACTCATGGCATAAAAATTATGAAAGATAAAAAGAGGTTAGAAAAAACCTACCTTGAAGAATGGAAAGTACTGGGATTTAAAAATGATAGAATCTTGAAGTGAATCTTTGTTGTGGTTAGGAGTGTGGTGATAAAGTGAAGGTTTCGTGAGTTACAAGTATTGTGTTTTGTAACGAAGAAGAACTAAAATTTAGTGCCCCTTTAATAGATTTTATGTTGTACTTAAGGGTGGCCAACAGGTGAGTTCAGGTTTAAAAGCGACACCCAATTTAAACTGCAGTTAAATTAACGAGACTTATTTCTGCTTAATTTTTAAATTGGTTATGATGGATGGGATTAAAATGAATTACAGATTGTTTCGATCGGTTTACTCGAGTAATTCCTTGTGGTAGAATGATGGACTTTATTACCAAGTCGTCAGTCTGATATACCCGATGCTTGACTTTCTAGTTGAAGGCTTTGATCATACGCTTCGGATACATCTGACCGTGACAAACAGCCGCAAGCTTCTTCTCGTTAATCATATTTATCTGGTCCAGCTTGGTCTGAATCCACTTATCTTCGTTTAAATCTGCGTCTCTCATAATCCTTAGAGAAGGAATATGGACTTCGACAGGTAGAATAACTTACATACTGTATACTAGAGAGAATGGGGTTCCCCAGTTGATGTACACACTGAAGTGCAATAACCAGGAAGAGAGAATGGTAGCATCTCATGTCAATCTTTGTAGGTCACTGTCATCTTCTGTATGATCTTCTTGATGTTCTTGTTTGTGGCTTCCACTGTGTCGTTCATCTTCGGTCGATACAGAGAAGAATTATGGTGTTTAATCTTGAACTGCGTTTAGAGTTCTATGATCATAGTGTTGTTAAGATTAGCACCATTGTTTGTGATAATCATTTCGGGGATGCTATATTGATAGATAAGGTTATGCTTAATGAATCGAGCTACAACATTCTTGGTAACGGAGGCAAATGAGGCTGCTTCGACCCACTTTGTGAAATAGTCAATAGCGACGAGGTTGAAAAGATGTCTGTTAGAAGCAGTAGGCTTAATTTCTCCAATCATATCAATGCCCCATATTGCAAATGGCCAAGGAGCAGTCAAGACATTCAAAGGAACCGGGGGCACATGTATTTTGCCAGCATAAATATGGAATTTCTGACAAGTTCTAGAATGGCGACGGCAATCAGTTTCCATGGTCGACCAATAATAACCCGCTATCGTAATTTTCTTATCCATCGTGTGCCCACTAAAATGAGTATAAAAGACACCTCCATGCATATCTTCCATAATCTTTTCAGCTTCCTTCTTGTCTACACAATGAAGCAGAGTCGAATGGTGATTGCACTTGTATAAAAGTTCGTTGCTCAGGAAGAACTTGGTAGAGAACCTCCTTATAAATTTCTTGTCATTGATGGATGCCCCCTCGGGGTATTCTTGATCCTCAAGGTATCTTTTCACTTCGTGGTACCATGGTTTTTCCTCTACTCCATTAGTATCAACCTCGTAGCAATGTGTCAGTTCGTCTAGTCTTTCAATGGTAATTCGAGGAGCTTCGTTGTCCCATCTGACTTTGAGCATAGATGACATGGTCGCTAATGCGTCTTCCAACTTATTTTCTTCTCGTGGAATATGTTCAAAAGTGATTTCCTCAAAGTATAGAATTAAGGTCAACACATGCTCTCGGTAAGGAATGAGATTCAGATGCTTCGTATCTCATTCTCCTTTAATCTGAATGATCACTAGGGCTAAGTCCCCATATACATCCAAGAACTTGATTCTCAAATCAATAGAAGCTTTGATACCCATGATGCATCCTTCATATTCGGCCATATTGGTACAGTCAAAGCATAGTCTAGCGGTGAACGGCATATGGCAACCTTTGGGAGATATAATCACATCACTGATTCTGGTACCAAGCATGCTAGAAGCTCCATCAAAAACCATAGTCCATCAAGATCCTGGCTCAGGTCCTTCATACGGTCTAGGTTTTTTACAATCAATAACTAGCATGATATTCTCATCCGGAAACTCGAAATTCATAGATTGATAGACATCCATAGCTTGATGAGCCAAATCATCTGCCGGTACACTTCCTTTGGTTACCTTCTAAGTGGTGTACTGAATGTCTTATTCTGTTAAGACCATTTCCCATCTGACTATCCTTCCAGAGAGAGCGGATTTCTTGAATATGTATTTTATGGGATCCATCTTAGAGATTAACAAGGTAGTATGAGTCAACTTTTACTGTCTTAGTCGGCAAGCAGCCTATGCCAAAGTGCAGCAGGTTTCCTCGAGCAGTGAGTATCTTGTTTCACAGTCGGTAAAGTTTTTTTTAAGGTAGTATATTGCATGCTCTTTTTGACCAGACTCATCATGTTGCCCCAGTACACACCCCATTTAGTTCTCTAACACTATTAGGTACATGATCAGAGGCCTTTTTATTCGACTGGTGGCATCCGAATTGGAGGTTCTTGGAGGTATCCCTTGATTTTGTCAAAAGCTATCTGACAATCGTTGTTCCACTTTACTACTTGATCTTTCTTTAGCAACTTGAAGATCGGCTCACAGGTAGTAGTTAAATGGAAAATGAATCTGGCAATGTAGTTTAAGTGTCCCGGGAAACCTATGACTTTCTTCTCTGTATCGGGAGCTGGCGTTTCTTGAATTTATTTAACCTTAGCAGGATCAACTACAATACATTTACCACTGACAATGAAACCCAGGATCTTAGGGGATCTCACCCCAAAGGTGCACTTGTTCGGATTTAACCTCAGATTGTACTTCTTCAGTCTCTCAAACAGCTTGTGTAGGTGGTCAAGATGTTCCTCTTCAGTCTGATATCTGGCTATCATGTCGTCAACATAAACCTCTATCTCGTAATGTATCATGTCATGGAATAAAGCTACCATAGCACACTGATATATTGCTCCTGCGTTCTTTAACCCAAAAGGCATAATCTTGTAGCAGAAAGTGTCCCACTTTGTGACAAAAGTAGTCTTCTCCATGTCTTCGGGGGCCATCTTGATCTGATTATAACCTGAGAAACCATCCATGAAGGAGAATACTTTATGTTGAGTGGTGTTGACAACCAGAACATCAATATGTGGAAGCGGAAAGTCATCTTGCGGCTTTCCCTATTCAGATCCCTTTAGTCTACACACATATGCACCTTACCATCCTTTTTCGGTACCGGAACCACATTTTCAACCCATTGAGGATAGGATGTAACAGCTAAGAAACCTGCCTTGAAATGCTTCATAACCTCAACCTTGATCTTCTCGGACATCTTGGGACGCATACGACGAACTTCTTCTTTATCGGAGAATAATCCTCTTTCGTCGGAAGATGGTGAACCATAATATCAGTATCAAGCCCTGGTGTTGTACCCAAATTTCCCCCCTAATATTCCTCTATCATCTCATATCAACTCAATCACAACAAGATTACATTAGGGTTTGGTTCTTCCCTCTATCTTTAAGTTTGCTCATGAGGAATCACCAAGAACTTTAATTTGTATATTATGATCATATTTATTTTGTATTGATTAACTTTTAAACTAACAAATAAAATGAATGTTTGCTCTAATTGATGACATTATAGGTAAGGGCACAACACATTTCATCAATTTCATTTATAGGTTCGTGAGTGTATTTCTGTGCCTTCTTCAACAAAGTTTTATTGAGATTCAAGCTTCATCATTGAAGATACTTTTAATTAATATCATGGCAAGGTCTACTATGATTTATCATGCATCAATTTGTCAAAGAAAATAAAAAAGATGCAAGAGTTAATTGAAGAAGTTTGACCTAATTGGACAAGTTCTTGATTTCTTGGTCACAAGTGTATAACACTCTCAATTCTTAATATTTGGAGTTTTATTTTGTTTTCTATGGGTTCTTATTATTATCCACAACAACTTCTATTCACATGGAAAAATTTATTGTGTAAGAAAGCTTGTCAAAATTGAAAGGGGTTTCCAAGTCATTTTGGAGCTCTAGCAGCTAGGGTTTTGAACTTCTAAGGGCTATATCTTGCTCATCTTTTGGTGTTTTTGAGTGATTCCGAAGACACGCTTCTCTTTAAAGAGTTATTAACCAATCACT